TGTAAAGCATACAAAAAGTTGTTCTTTTAGTTGTCATTTTGATATTGTTGTTTGATATGACATTCAAAAAATTAATTAGAAACTATCTCTTTGAGTAAAACCGAAATAATTTCGATTTGCTAGTTGAAAATTCTTCCTATTTATCATTGAAATTTCGAATGTAGATAGTATACTTGCAAGTGTCTCTGTAGGTTGCATATATAAATAAACGACAGTAATGTGAAAAAATCACAAAAACTGAGTAATCATTGTGTTTTTTGTTATGAAGAATACACTGCTATAGACTCGTATTTTCTTCATTGTATGCACGTTAAAAAGCATGAATTTTTTGTATATTTATTCTTATTTCAGTCAAATCAACTAATCGAATCCCTCTAGGGAAATCTTGAACGTTTCTGATCCTGATCCTGATAGGATTCGATATTTTTTCCTCAGAAAAGGATGAACTCTCGGATAAAGTGTATAGCCATAGCATTTCAAGATCTTAACAGGGTTGAGAACAAAAGTACAAGATATTTTATTAATGAGACATACATCTGTATTAAAAAAATAAAGAACAAATCTTTTAGATTGCGAAAATTTTTTCATAATATAATTGTGTATATTTATAAACAAATAGGTCCAAATTGAGGATATGCTATTGAACATTGCATATTATAACAACAATCTTTGTTCTCTTTACAAGGTAGTGCATGTTCACTACAGGGACATATGAATACACGTCCACTTGATATTGCTGGTTGAACACAACATTCAGATGGTGATAACGCTGTTTCATTACTTAATCGACAACATGTTTCCGAGTATTTTCCACATATTTGTCCAGGACAACAAATATCAGTTGAGTTATTGCATGATTCAAGTGGTCGTTAGGGGTCTGCGGTTCCAAAAAAGAACCGGGAACCGAACCGAGAACTGGAACCGCGGTCTCGGTTCCGGTTCCCAAGCTTGAAAAAAAACGGTTCCGGTTCGGTTCCAAAAATATTTCAAGGAACCAGGGAACCGGTACATTACCAGATGTGCAAGACATTTAAGAGTTTGGTTTTCGTAATTCTTGCAGTTAGTATTCTAATGTAAGAATATTTGCAGTTTATTGAGACAACATTGTGCTCAAAACATAGAATAGAAAATAAAACAACAAAACGTTTTACAATGTAGTTGTTCAACATATGCAAATGTTTGCAAAAAAGCTTGAAACAAATGTTTAGCTTGTATTAGGGGCTAGTTCAACATCTTTCAAGAAAAATATTTCTCTATTTAAAGAATGTCAGTTGACAGTTTTAGAATATCTGATTGAATATTTGATTCGTTTTCCTTTTGGTTTCATAACTCAGAGACATCTGATTTTTAGGCTATTAATAAAATTGATTACAATTCTTTCAATGTTAATATTCGAGACCCTGTGATTAGCGTGGGATTGTGCTAGTCAAAACAATAAAACGAAACTTTTCGCATCAGTATTCCAGCGATTCTTTCAATATGACTTAATTATTTCGTCGAAAACATTGACCTACTTTTTTGGCTTCCTTCGGAATCAATAGCTTGTTTCCGATCGTTGACTGCTCGCGATTTTAGAAACGCTTGAGTTGTAAACTTTTCAAATCAGGGATTAATTCTATATATTAATATTTCTGTATCGATGGAATTTTCTGACAGAGCAGATTTTCATGTTCTAATTATTTAATGCAGACATGTGATGTGATTATAGACTGGGTATCTTTGTTATCTTAGTTTAGTATCATACCAGGATAAAATAGAATTTGATCAAATATATAAATATTATTCGCGGTCGATCTGCTTAGAATAAACCTGTGCTAATTGCAAAACAAAGATTGGGGAGAATCTAGAAAGCATGACATGTTTATATAGTAAGACAGTTTCAATTTTTTTTGCAAACCGTTGTACTTATTCAAATACAACCCATGTCCTTCATCCCGGCAATTTCTCGTCGGGATCCCGACAGGAAATTACTGTTATATCAGTGCCTTGAGAAACCAAAGACAGTGGATCAACTCTCAACTTCATCCTTTTTTTTTTGTTTTTTTGCCTTATTGTTGAATTTGAGCACTGTGATATCGTGCTGAATCCAGTTTATTATTCACTAATTTTTATATTTTTTTTACATGTTCAAAGCGTATAATAAGCAAGAAAATGGAGAAATAAGAGAAGAAAAAAAAAGGTTTTATCACATTAATCATATAAGAAAAGCAAAAATACAAAAAATAAATTAATTGAGATCACATCAGTCATGTTGATATGTACATGTTCTCGTAAAAAAAATATATAGTGTTAGGTTTGTGTTGATGAATTTGTTTGAACTGTAGTTCGTTGTTTTTTTAAACCCTTTTTAATATCCCGACGTTTGTTTAAAAATGTTTCATTTAAATTGCACCATTCAATTTTAAAAATATCACCTGATAATCGAAATTTATTTCGTACAGCTTCTAAAAAAAGAGATGTGATAAACAATATATGAGATTATTCGTGCTAAACAAACAAGATAAAATAAATTCTTAGTCAAACCTTATATTAATTTATAACCATCATTAAATTTAATTTTTGTTGCATCAATTTGAAATAATTCTTCACGTGTAAAAACAATATAAATTAATGATGTTACATATAAATTCATCTTTTGTTTAACACCAGTTATTGATAATAAATCAACATTATTTCCATCGTTGGGATTTTTATACATCTAAAAAATGAAAACAAATCTTATGAACAATCGATTAGTATAAAAAAGGGCATGAAAAACATTTGCTTCAAAAGTTCTTTCTTCACATGTGATTACTCTGTTTAAAGCTGTTTGAACGTACCATTATTGTTTCAAATGTTTTTTCTTCAACTGGCTGTTCTACATTGGGTTCTTCTAATAGTATATATATCTAAACAGAAATAAATAAATATAAAAACCATGTCCATAATAGTCAGTCTTTAACCGTGCTAGTATTTAAAAATGCACCGTTAATTTGTGCATGATTTTACTAGAATACGTTTTTAGATTTTCACTCTAGATCGCCTTTGAAACTTGTAGCCCTAGTAACTTACGAAAAAAGATTTCAGACCGTAATATTTTCTAGGCTATTCTTAATCACGCAATACACGATAAGAAGAAACTAGCCCAAAATGAGACTTTTTACCCCAATATCTGTCTAGCTGTTGCAGAAAGTGATTCTTCTTACCTTTTTTTTACATGAGGCTTTTTGTATTTTTTTAAATTTTCAAATAACATTTGAATCATATTTTCTTGTCTTTCTTGTCCAATTAATATTTGCTTTAAATATTTTTCTTCTATGTTTGTAATACTTAACAATGATTGTTTTAATAAAAATACAAGTTCTTTTTATGATGGTTATTCATTATCATCATTTGTACCAAGAATTTTTCGACCAGCTAATGGTTTTGGTGTTTGAAGAATTGATATTGACGATGAAGATGGTGTTGTTTGATTTGATGGCTTTCGTCGTGGTGGTTTATTTTCATAATCACTATCATCATCGTCATCATATTCCAATTGTTGTGTATCAACCATAAAAGTAGATGATGGAGTTGATATGGTTGTATTTGGTGGAGTAGACTCTTTTTGATGATGTATATTGACGTTTTGATTTTATATTTGTTGCTTTTGTACGTTTGCTATGTTGTCGTTGTGGTGATAATCTTAAATTTTCACAAGCATTACTATCATAATTATTAATTGTTTGTTTTAAATAACGAAGATTATCACTAGCACCTCAATGTAAATAGTAAATTCGCTTTTTATGGAAGAAAAAAAACGTTTGAAAGGAAAGACCTCATAAGGGGGATCCCCCACCCATTTTTTCACCAGTTTGTAGGGGACGTCCCAAAAAAGTTTTCGAATCTCAGACTTGTAGCTTTTGATGAAAAATTTTACAGTTTTTAAAATTTTCTTTGTTTTTTTGGTATTTTTCAACTTTAAAAGTAAAGGGAATTTTGAAAAGTTCTAAGTTACTTCGAAATTCGATTCTGAAAAAGTTTTGCTTAATAGTTCAGCGTCTAGTATTTTCAATCTTAAAGATTGAGCTTAAGACGTTTTGCGACAACAAAGTATTTTCCCATAGAAAAAATCATGATAAACAAATTTTACACTCATGTTTTTGCCCCAAAATGCGCCCTCAAAGGGAACAGCAGACAAGATCTCGCAAAAACCCACTTTTGACCCCCAAAGCCCATTCCCAAGGTCAAATCCAAATTTCAAAGTCAAACCCTTAATAGAAAGCACATTTCGCCAGAGACAGACATGTAAAAGTAAAATAAAAGAGACAAGCTATAAAAAAACAAAAACCTTTTTTGTTCATACCTAATGTACTATGTGCATTTTTTGATTGCGAATTAATAGTTACATTTTTACATGCTTTTCCTGGAAAAAAATTGGAATCGTAAACGAAAAGTTCACATAGTAGAATAAGAATTTACTTACCCAAACCTCCAAACGGAATATTTGATAAACTTGTAATTGTTGGTTCTTGTAAAAGTAAAGATAGAAGAAAAATATCGCAGATATTACGCTTCTGTGAAGAATGAAATCAATATTCCTACTTGATTGTATTTTAACAATTGTTGTGATTTTTGTTTTCATTTTATTTTCTTGTTCTGGATCATAATCAGATTCAATATCTGTATTCATAGCTTTTCCTAATAATTTTTGTGCTTCATGTAATTCAGCCACTGTACCTATAGTAGAAAGAGAAATAGACAAAAGATAACTTTTTACATTTAAAAAAAAAAACTTCACGTTCATCTGATACCTTTTTTGAAAACCATTGCCAGACATTTTTTACTGCCACTTTGTATAGTAATTAATCCATCATGTTCTGAATTTGAACACTGTTTATTATTAACAATAGAAAATGTATTGTCACTTGGAAATATTACAAGTTTATATTTTAGTTCGGTATTGGTTATGCTGTAAGTTTTGTAAGATTTTTTTATAAATATTAGTATCGTCTAACATATCTAAATTATTGTACATACTCAATAAAAAATCAATAAATAGATCGATTTTATGTCGCAAGAGTAGAAGAATGACTGTCACAGCGGCCGACTATTGTGTAAACAGACATTGAATCAGAAAAAAGAACAATGATGACGGTCAAGTCGATCCGAATGAGATGAGCAATCACTGACGGATGAGGTAATGACAATAATCCTTTTTCGTCTGACATAAAATATGCTATATCGAATTGATTACAATTATTTGTTTAACTACAAACATTCTAATTTGAATCTATTTTGAACATAGAACCGTAGAATGCGCTTCACTAAATGAACAAGAAATCATTTGGGATAAAATAATTTTGCCGGGATCCTGTTTTTTTTGACCGGGAACTCGCAGGATCCCGTCACTTTTTGCGGGATAGGCGGGATCCCGCGGCTTCCCGCATAGAAAAGTTAATCCCGCGGGATCCCGGCGAGATTCATAAAAAATGAGCGACATGGGAAAAAACTTAAACAAAAACTCATTTTCATCCTTTTCTTTACCTTTACTATCTTCGTCATAAAAAATAACATTCATTTGTTTAGCTACTTTAAGGCGCCCTTCAAAATCGATCTCAGCCTAGGAAGGTTAGAACGAGCTGAAACATGGAAGATGTGTTGGGGTATCAAGGGGCGTCTATGATAAAATTTTCAGTCCTCAGTCGTTCCATTTAAAGGAGATATTGGCTAAGCAAGACCCTAAAACAGCTAATTTGGCGACCCAAATTTCTCAGTAATGGTTCGTTCAATGTATTTGTATCTTTTTTGTTTGAAAGAGTACGTCAAGCTGTAGAGCATGACGTTATCCTTTTTTTTGAAATTCTCCCGTTTTCAGCGCAAAAAAGATATCACAAGTTCAATGACTAAAAAAAATGTCAATAAATGGTGACCAAGTTATATTAATAACTATCTTGACGATGTGGCTGGATGTGACTGTGACTGTGCGTGTTACCAAGAAGAGATTCATATCGATCTTCACCCACACACACCCAAACAACGGTTCCCGGTTCCGGTTCTAGATGATTTTTTCGACGGTTCCGGTTCCGGCTCCAGTTTTGAAATTTAGAAAAAAACCGGTTCCGGTTCGGTTTTCGGTTCCAGCTTTTGTGGAACCGCAGACCCCTACCAAACCCACACCCACACCCTGAAAATGTTGATTAAAGTATTTTTAGAGAATGCAAAAGTTTAGAAACAAAATGACGAAACGAAGGAGTCAATAATGATTCATCTAACAATTAAAGATCGTTGTTAGTTGCATTTCTTCTTCCAACAAAGTAATAATTTTGATCTATATTTTCTTCATATATTTGAATACATTAATAAAAAAATGAAAATAATCATTTAGAAAAATATTTTTTGATTTAAATAAAAGTCAAATTAATAATATGTTATCTGCGCATATAACCTCGATGACCACCTGGATTCATATGATGATGTCCACCACGAGCTCCTCCATGGATCGGTGGACCATTTGCAGCACCTCTCGTAGGCATGTGGCCACCCATAAATAGGCCACCATGTGTTCCTCTGCTTGTAGGCATGCGGCCACCCATAAATAGGCTACCATGTGTTCCTCTGCTTGTAGGCATGTGACCACCCATAAATGGGCTACCATGTGTTCCTCTGCT